TTATGTTTTGAATAGTATTCATTTAACTTTTTTCCTTTATTTTCTACGGAAACAAGTTTAGTCATGGTTTTGTAGAGAATTTCACGGCGCATCTTTTGGTAAAACAAGCAGCTCTAAAGATCAAAAAGAAAAAAAAGTTATAGTCAAAATACTGAGACCTTCATTTATTCTGGGCCACCCGTTACTTTTGACATATAATTGTTTTAGATATTCAATATCTCAAGAAGAACATATCCTTTTAAGCTGAAATTTTCAGAGATTTTTTAAGATCAACAAAACCTATATATGAGCAAAATATTAGTTCGGTTGATGGTTTATACTTAAAGATGTTCTTGTTAAGATGTATCTTCTCATATAAAATGAGTAGCGTTTGTTCAATTTGATTAACGGTTAATAATTAAACATATTTAATTAATGTAATTTGTATTCTAGTCCAGCATCATATTGGCTATTTAGTTATCTGTTTGATATAATTATTTCTGTTATATGGTTCTGTTATTTACTTGCTGTTTTTTGTATATTTGATGTTGCTTTTAATGGTATATCAAATAAGAAACCTCAATTAGAAACTATGATTTCACTGGAATTTGCTACTCCATGGGATTTACGAGTACAATTTTATCCATTAACAATTTTAATTACATTACCAACATTACCATTTGCTTATTTATTAACAAAACTTTTCCGAAGTGATATTCTTGTATGTATCTTTTTTTCAGAATTTTTGACTGAATAGTTCGTTTCATAGAATATAACGTATGATTGAAAAGTTTTTGGACCAACTAGAAAGTATTACGGACGAGTCAAAAGCTATATGTTAGAACCAGAATTTTGTGCTCTCTTCAAATATGCGCTCAGAAATTTTGTCCCAATTTTTGTTCGAGAATAGTGAAATAAACTTTGAGAAGTCCAAAAAATGAGTTTGGATGGAACTTGTTGGTTGAAATTCGTGATAAAGATGCTTTTTGATTTTGGCCGTCTTGAAACCATTTCGGACGAGTCAAAACTATAGGTTACGACTAAAATTTTGTGCTGTCTCTGAATATGGGCTTAAAAATGTTGTATCTTTTTTCTTCAAACGCA